GAGACAGCAGTTTCCCCCACTCCGCGGTGCGCTCTCATGTCACTCCCTACCAGTGCGTGCACGGGGGCCTGTGGAGAGAAAACCCTCGCAAAGGGCCCCGACACCCAGGCGGGTGGCAGGGAGGGTGGCAGGAGCGATGAGGGATTGCAGAGAACCCCCATCTCTTCTCCCTCGCTGCGTTAATGGGAAACACGGTGAGGGCAGCACTACCCAGGGCACAGGGTCCCCAGCGTGGCCCTCGCTGCACTCGGGGACCTGGCACCTACCTTGCCCTGCTCTAGGGCTGGCGGGGGGGCACCATCTGCTTTTAGAGCGGCTGATACAGGAGAAAACCTTTGAACTCTGACTCTCGTGAGGTTCAGGTTCTTCTCCCCTGCCCCAACAGGAGTATTTGCCATCCTGATGCACAGAGCAGAGCCTCACCCCCAGGCACCCACGGTCCCAGAGAGCCCCCTCTCCCCAGGCTGAGGGCGTCCAGTTCCCAACGTCACCCACCGAACAAATCCCACCACACTAACTGCCATCGGGGCTTTGCTGTGCCTGGCCATCCTCCTCCCATCCGAGGGGCCGTCGCGGTGCACGGGCTGAGGCTGCGGGTCAGGCTGCGCCATTCGTTCGTTGGGACAAAGGTGACAAGTTCAAATGTTTTAGCTATTTTATTATATAACACAGGAAAAACCATAGAAATAGTAAGGGCTGTGCTTATCTTACTCTTAAGTCTTGTCTTAGACCAAGACTGGAGACTCCTCACACAAGGGGGCTGACAACCAGCGCTGCTTACAGCATCCAGCACAGCAGAGTCTGATGGAAGTTTCTAGAGTTACCAGGGAGAACACAGTTGTTTTGGGTCATGATCTTTCAAAACATCCTCTCACGTCACTGGGCTCAGCAGGTTTTTGTACAGGGAATAGCGCAGCTCCTGCAGAGGCCGCACAGGCAACAGCAGCACAGCCCACGTGCCGGCCCTGCTTCGAGAGGGGCATCAGTCAAAACCCCTGGAGCGCCCAAATTATCCCGTGGTTCTGCAGTCTGCGAGGCGCCTGCCCGCTCTTCTCACCTACGGCTTGTTTAGAGGGGGCCCATAAAGAAACAAGCTGATGGTGCCCTTATAAATCTGCTTAGTTTGGGTGCTGTAAAGGACAGGATGGGAGAGGGGTGCGAGGAGGTGTGGATGGGGTGCCATCGGGGTGCAGAAGACGGGGGTGCCTCTCTCCCCGATCCATGCAGGATGGGCTGGCCAAGTTCTGGGATGAAGGCGGCTGAGACTGCACAACCCTCAGGCCCTTGTTCTTAGAGGCAATGCTGAGAGATGTCACGAGGACCACGATGGAGGACAACAAAACGGAGATCTGAACCCACGGTGGAGGAAATGAGGTTTGGGGCATCGATGGTGTTGAATGCCACCTCTCTGGAGGGCAGCCGGGTCACTGGGGGATGGGACAAGGGGGATGGGACAAGGCGCTCCCTGTCACCAGGCAGCCAGAGGAGAGGGAGGACCCGGGTACCGCCAGGACCGTGCTCCTCTGTGGG